TGTGTGTGTGTGTGTGTGTGTGTGTGTGTGTGTGCGCGCGTGCGTGAACACGCGCGTGTGTGTACATGCATGTGCCACTCCTGGGGCTTGAACTCAGGGCCTGGGTGATATCCCTGAGCCTTTTTTGCTCAAGGTGACATAGCTCCACTTTCTGCTTTTTGGTGGTTAACTGGAGATAAGAGTCTCAAGGATTTTCCCACCATGCTGGCTTTGAGCTGTGATCCTCAGATCTCAGCCTCTGGAGTAGTGAGGATTATAAGTGTGAGCCACCATTGTCCAGCTAGACCAACATCTTTTAAAAATCAAATAACTATACTCCCCAAAAAGTAGCTAGTCTTTTTTTTCTTTTTATGTGGTGCTGAGGAATCAAACCCAGGGCCTCATGCATGCAAGGCAAGGGCTCTATCACTGAGCCACCTTCCCAGCCCAGTAGCTAGTTTTTTATGACTTATTAATGAGTGCTTTCAAACTCTCTGGAAACAAATAATCTACATATTATAGAAATCATACCTAAAATAGGTCAAGATATAGGTTATTTAATTTATTCTACTACTCTGATCCTAAAATTGGCTTAAAAATGAAAAGAGAAAAACATGTAGACAGAATTCATGCTCAAATACTTAAAGGATAATAGCAGAAGAACAGATTAAAATTTTAATTGTGTCATGCTAACAGATAACAAAAAAATTGGTAAAATCTAACACCTACTTATTTATTTAAGAAGGTAGGTCTCACTAAGCAGTGCAGGCTGACTCAAATTTGTGATCCTACTGCCTACAACTTCCTAGTGCTAGAATTATAGGTACACACTACTATGTTCACCATAACATCTATGGAGATGAGAGAGGCACAGACAAAATATTTTTACATGTAATAACACTGTAATAAAACACAAAGAAATCACTTGAATGGTTATGATAGGATTTAATGCAATTAAAATCATTAGCAATATAAAAAATACAGTTTTCCTGGTCTTCAAGACTGAAAATCATCCAGACAGCTCTTTAAAAACATTGTGTGTGGGGGTCTGTTGTGGGGCTTGAACTTAGGGCTTGGGAGCTAGCTGTCCCTGAGCTTTTTTGCTCAAGACTAGCACTCTATCACTTTGAGTCACAGTGCTACATCTGGTTTTCTGATGGTTAACTGGAGATAAAGAATCTCACAGACTTTCCTGCCCAGGCTAGCTTTGAACTGTGATCCTCAGATCTCAGCCTCCTGAGTAGCTAGGATTAACAGGCATGTACCACTGGCCCCTAGCTTTTTAGCTCTTAAATTTTTAATAGTCATGCCTCACCCCAGATAAAAGAGTCTTTAGGGGTGGAGTCAGGTGATTTCAATGTATAGCCAAGTAGATATACCCACTACTATATATTTTACTATCTAAATAGTTAAAAAAAATGCAATGTAAAGTATAACCATTTGTGGTAGGAGAAGAATCACTGTAAGGAAGAAGTTCTTAAGAAGAAACTTGACAGAAGATATAGTTAGCTCCTGTCTTCAAACAACTGTAGTTCTGACAAAAAGTAGGCACTTACCAACCAAGGCAGCAGAGAGAGATGTGACCTACAGAACAACAGACTGATAGCAATGAGAGATCTCAGTCTCTGTCCAAGGTGGGAACCATTCATGAGCCTTTAATAGAAGCTGAGGTAGTACAGGGCTAGCTGCATACCTGAATAAGTCATGTGTGAGTAAATTCCTATAAATGCAATTGCTGAGTCAAATGGTATTTGCTTTTGAACATAATAGTTTAATTTTAAAAGATCTTAAATGTAAGCTGGGTGCTAGTGGCTCACACCTGTTACCTTAGCTACTCAGGAGGCTGAGATCTGAGGGTCGAGGTTCAAAGCCACACCTGGGCAGGAACATCCATGAGACTCTGATCTCTAATAAACCACCAGAAAACCGGATATGGAACTGTGGCTCAAGTGGTAGAGCACTAGCTTTGAGCTGAAGAGCTGAGGGACAGCACCTCAGGCCTGGAGTTCAAGCCCCACAACCGACCAAAAAAAAATCTTAAATGTAGAATAGAAAAAGCATGATGTATAGAATATGCCTCATATATAGGAGTGGAGTGGGAGAGATGAGGTAAACTAGAGCAAGGAAAGATTACTCAGTGTCACCAAGTAGTAAGCACAGAAATGGGTATCAAACAAAATTCTTGGTTATTCCAATTTGGTGTTGCTCTTTCCGTTAGTTTGTCCCTGCTGCAACCTTAGTTATCTACATACATTCCCATCCTATCAAGTCCCTGAATCAACAGGCATTGATTGCTAGGGCCTATCTGGTTCTTTCTATCCAAACCATGCAATTTCTCTTTCCATTTGAACCACTCTCTCTTTTTAAAATTTCTCTTGATTATTGTTTTAGAGGTGCTATACAACAGGATTCCTTCCCAGAGTATTACCTGTTCCCTTATTCTCTCCCATTCCCTCCTTCCCATTTCCACCCACAAGTTGTATAGTTCACTTTCATCACTGTCCAGTGCTGCATTTTTTTACCCTTTTCCCTCAGATTCTGTGCCTTCCCCCCACCCTCCTACAGATGTGCACATGAATATACCGTATGTATGTAAGGTAAAGAATACAGAGTCATCAGACAAAGAAAAAAAATAAAGTCCTTTGTTTCCATATCTTTGGAGTTTGTTTCAGTATGTATATTATTTTATATAAGTATGAACAGGCAGCTGGGTATTGCACCTTGTGGTTCTCTCCTAAGACTACCTTCTTTTTTTTTTAAAAGACTATCTTCTTTTGTGAACCAGTGTCTTGTTTGCCTGCCTCCCAATCATATATCATCCAAAGCTTTCCTAGATATTTCTGTTTAATATTTCATGGCCAGTTTTTCAATATAAATATCTAATCTATCATTCATATTCCTAAAGTGGCTTTAAATTACTTTCTAGATAACGAGTTATTTTACTAGAACTTTAATATGCCACCCAAGATGCTTCTTCCATAATGCTTTCCCTGTTATTTTCCTTTCTCCTTCCTTTCCCTGCTTATTTCACAGTGCTTTGTATAGGCTAGGCAAGTACTCTACCACTGAGCTACACTCCCGGCCCCTGTGTAAGCAATTCTCTCCTTCTCGTTCTACATTAGTTATAAAAAGATGTTTCATAGTGATTTCCACATATGAACAATGTACTCTGATCAAAATACACCTCCTCTACTAGTAATTATTTTCAATACAAACATGTGGCTTCCTAATTTACTTCCTCCTCCTAAAACAAGTATGCTTTATTCATTCTTTCAACAAATACTTGCTGAGCATCTACTTTCCAGAACTGTTTGAGTTCCTGAGAATAAAGATTTTACTCTTCAGCCACTCAGGCAAGGAAGGTGTGTGGTTATACAGGGAGAAGGCAGAAAGAAAGCCAATCAAACAGATATTTGTGTAGTAGTCAGACAGTAATATGTGCTAGAGAGAAAATAATATAGGAAGGGGTAATTTCATGATGTAGTAATGAATCATTTTCAATTGAGGGTGCCAGCAATGATTCAGTCATTTTGGAGCAGAAATCTGAAGGTGAAAAGGGAAAGATGCCATGTAAATTTCTGGCAGGAGAAGAGTCTAAGGCAAAGGGAACAAGTACAGTAGCTTTGAAGCAGGAGCATTTCTGAATTAACTCAAACAGGCAGGATAGAGTCAGTATGAGAGAAAGCTTTACAAAACGTGTGCATAGTGCTGGGTGCCAGTAGCTTACACCTGTAATCCTAGCTACTCAGGAGGCTGAGATCTGAGGATTACAATTCAAAAGCCAGCCTAGGCAGGAAAGTACGTGAGACTCTTATCTCCAATTAACTAACAGAGAAACCGGAAGTGGCGCTGTGGCTCAAGTGGTAGAGCGTTTGCTTTAAGCTCAAGAGCTCAGAGAAAGCACCCAGAATTGAGTTTAAGCTCTACCATTGACCAAAACAACAACAAAAAAAGAAAAGAAAATGTGTGTAAAAGAAAAACTTTCTCAAACCAGGTACTGGTGGCTCATGTCTGTAATCTGAGCTATTCTGGAGGCTGAGATTTGAGGATCATGGTTCAAAACCAACCTGGACAGGAAAGTCTGTGAGAATCTCATCTCCACCAGAAAACCAGAAGTGGAGCTGTGGCTCAAAGTGGTAGAATCTTGAGCAAAAAGAGCTCAGGGACAGCCAACAGGCCTTGAATTCAAGCCCTAAGACTAGCAAACAACAACAAAAAACAACAATAATAAAAAAAATTTACTAGGGCCTATCTATTTAATCAGAGTGAAATCTATTTATATTGACTGTTAGTACATTTTTCTTCAGTATTGAAGAAAAATAGATTCCAGAGATATGTACTTGAAAATATTGCTTCAATAACTGGTATGCAAACTAGTCTTCAAAGTGTAAGTTTTACACTAGCCTAAATACTGATGCCTCACCCAAACATGCACATCACAGAGATAAACACAGAACTCTGCCTTTACAGTACCCAGCAGTCAGATGAAGGTATAACAGTTCCTGTGAGTGATCTAAAAAAAAAAACCCACTAAACTATACTTTCAATATGGGTTTTTAGATTTACAAAAAAATAAAAGTAAGCCTGGTGCTGGTAGGTTACACCTGTAAATCTAGCTACTTAAAAGGCTAAGATCTGAGGATCATGGTTCAAAACCAGGAGGAAAGTCTGTGAGACTCATATCTCCAATAAACTACTCAGAAAAAGTTGAAAGTGGTGCTATGGCCCAAGTGGTAGAGCTCTAGCCTTGAGCACAGAGAAGCTCAATGACAGAGCCCAGATCCCAAGGTTCAAGCCCCAGGACTGGCAATAAAATTAAAATTAAAAAATGAACCATTTGACCAAAGAGCTCAACAATAAAAAGAAAAGGAGAGTGGAGAAAGTAAAGAAATTCTAAGCAATACAAAGATTTTATGTGGCTATTAACAACTCAGGCATTACACAATTTTGTAATTGATGGAGCAAGAATTTTGTTAAAACTTAGCAGCACATTATTTTTCTGGGAAAGATTGTTTCCTTACTCCATTGTCTTTTCCAGTTTCCTTTTCCACTGAATTTAGCCAGCACGCATCTTCTCAGTGTTGCTTGTTGCTTCTGCAGTTGCAACTCAGTCCTATAAAAGAATCACCATAGCATTACTTTATGAGAAGATGAGAGAAAGGAAACTATTTATGAAATGAAATCTTTTCCTAATTCATTTCACAACTGTACACGAAGAGCAGGTAGAAAGAACAAAATAAGGCTATTAAAATACAAACCCGTAATTTACAAGATGATCTAATAAGACCTAAACCTTTTTTTTTGTGGGGGAGGGAAATGGGGGAATAGGGGAAACAGCCTTGGGGCTTAAACCCAGAGCCTGGGAACTGTCCCCAAGCTTCTTTTGTTCAAGGTTAGCACTCTACCAACTGAGTCATAGCACCACTTCTGGCTTTTTCTGTTAATGTGGTACTAAGGAATCAAACCCAGAGCTTCATGCATGCTAAGCAAGCACTCTACCACGATGCCACATTCCCACCCAAACCTAAACCTTTAACACTGTTCCAACAATGAATTTTGATCCTTCTCTCCTAGCTATATTTGAGGTGGATTGGCAGAAACAAGTAATTGATGTATGGCTTTACAACTCCAAGAATACACATCCTTCAAGATATAATACTCTCTGATGGTCTTCATTCAAAGCCCTGTTCCCTCTGCTCCCCACCCCCCACCCCTGCATGGGTTCCAGAGGTACAAAAATGGCTCCTCCTCTTGAGCTCTATCACAAGGAACTATATCCCTTCCTCTTTTATTCTGATCTTTATCCTTACTTTGCCCAATGCTAACACTGGGTACACAGTAATTTTTAGTGAATGAGACAAAAAATATTTTGTAACTTAGTTAAGACTCGGTTTTCTTTTTTATCAGAAACATTTTATTTTTTCTTATTTATGTTTAAATTATCTTTAATTATACAAAGGGTTTGAATTCACAAGATGTCAGTTTATGAATACAACGCATTTTGATCAATGTCACCTCTTTCATCATTCTCCTCCATCTCTCCCAACCCCACACATAACACATTTTCAACAAACCTCCACAGGTCCTTAGTTCTTTTTTTTTTCTTGCCAGTCCTGGGGCTTGAACTCAGGGCCTGGGCACTGTCCCTGTGCTTCATTTGTTCAAAGCTAACACTCTACCATTTGAGCCACAGAGCCACTTCTGACTTTTTCTGTTTATATGGTACTGAGGTATTGAAGCCAGGGCTTCATACATACTAGGCAAGTACTCTACCACTAAGCCACATTCCCAGCCCCATCTAGAAATCCTTCATGGGATTTTTTAAATGCTTTGGAAACTCTTGAACAACTACTGTTCTTCAGCTATTTATTCCTATCTCAAAACATTATGTTTGATTAAAATGCCCATTAGCAGTAAGATTGCTTCAAAGTGAGCATACCAGAAGGTCTTGAAACTTCAATTAGATAGCTAGATCATGGTACATTATAGAAAGGCAGGACTATATAAGCATCTGTGAATACAAACAGGCCTGCCCCTCAAAAGAATATCACTTATCAAATTATCTCTAATTATTACTGGCATTCTTACATGTTTAACATACTCTCATCTTTGTGCATTGAGCACTGTTCTAAGAGCTTTAACAACATGAACATATACAACGCTTCTAAATCACCTCAGTTAGTAGATTTTATTACTCTAAAGTGCTCAGATTAAAAAGAAAAATGAGGCATTAAAAAAGTCAAGTATGCTGGGTGCCAGTGGCTCACGCCTGTAATCCTAGCTCCTCATGAGGCTGAAATCTGAGGATCACGGTTCAAAGCCAGGTGAGACTCTTATCTCTAATAAAGCACCAGAAAACTGGAAGTAGCACTGTGGCTCAAGTGGGTAGAGCGCTAGCCTTGAGCTGAAGAGCTCAGGGTCAGTGCCCAGATCCAGAGTTCAAGACCCATGACCGACATTAAAAAAAAAAAAGTATGTACGCATGTCATATATTAAAATATACTATATGCTAAGCTGATTTTCATAGGTAGAGTTTCTAAGCATATATAATTTTACAGTAAGCTAAAGGGTCATCCATCTATCTTTAAAAAAAAAATTGCTGTCCTGGAATGTCTACTTAAATTATCTCTTGAAAATGTTGCCAAATCAACTATTTTAATATCTAATTTCAAATTCTCCATAACTTAAAAGATGCCCTTTTTAATTAAAAAAATCCTATAAATAAAAAGTAAATCTTTAATTTTGTGAAGATCAGAAGCAATAATTATTTTAAGCTGACTACTCTTATTTACTTACTACTTCAGCTTATTATATTTATTTCAGGTATATTGCTATGTTTACCTTGCACAAGCAAGGTAGAACTTTCCCTCCCTCCTTTCCTCCCTCCCTCCCTCCCTCCCTCCCTCTCTCCTTCCTTTCTTCTTTCCTTCTTTCCTTCCTTTCTTCCCTCCCTCCTTCCCTCCTTCCTCCCTTCCCCCTTTCCTCTCTTTTCTCCTTTTCTCTTTCTTTTTATTGCTAAGGGCCTCACACTTTCTTTTTTGGACAAAGGGCCTTACACTTGTTAAAGAGGTGAGGTAACACCACCTCCTCCCTACCCCCCAGCCAAAGCAGTGTATTTCTTTCATTCCCTAGTCCAGTTGACAGCAACATGCAGGAAAGCTGTAGGTTCCATCCACTATAGACCACTTAGCTTTGTTCTATTCATGTCTATACATTTTTAGCCTGAATGACATCAGAGAAATCAGGTAGGAGTATGCAAGGCAAGCAACATAACATATCTCTGAAGAAACAAACATAAAACTGGGATACTACCCAGGCCCTGAGTTCAAGACCCAGGAATGGCACAAACACACAAAAAAATACTATACATTTTCATAAAACCAAAAAGTATTCCATTCAAGTAAGTTATTTTAAATATGCCTTTTCAAATTAAATAAAGAAACAAGCCATTATCTTACCAGATTACATTTTAAAATAACTCAGGGTGCATCCATGGTGTTTTCTAAGCTTCAACAAATAGAAATAAAAAAGCATAACTATATTCCTTAATTATTACAGGAAGAAACCCACTTAGGATCATCTGTCTTCAAGATTTCCTGCCCACAGCTGGAATGAACTTCCCAATGTACTAATGTTACAAAGCACATGGGTTCCAACAGTCACAAGGTAACTATGACAGCGAAGCCACGGGTATCTGTGAGATCACAGAAACCATACGATGTCGATTTTTTTGTGTGTGTCACTAGGTTTTGAACTCAGGGTCTTAACAATTGCTTAGAGAGCACACCATTACTTGAGCCCATGATGTAATTTTTAATTGAGGTAAAATTTTCCTAACCTAATATTAGTTATTTTTGTTGTTGTTGTTGGTCATGGGGCTTGAATTCTGGGCCTGGGCACTGTCCGTCAGCTCTTCAGCTCAAGGCTAGCACTCTACCAGTTGAGCCACAGTGCCACTTCGTTTTCTGGTGGTTAGTTGGAGATAAGAGTCTCACAGACTTTTCTGCCTGGAATGGCCTTGAACCACAATCCTCAGGTCTCAGCTGCCTGAGTAGCTAGATCACAGGCATGAGCCACAGGCACCTGGCTTATATTAGTTATTTTCAAATGGACAATTCAATGGCATAAAAAAGCCTTCTGACAACCTAAATATGCATTATGTGTCCATAGACTTATTTCTTTAGGATATTTTGAATAAATGGAATCATATAATATGACCCTTTAAGCCTGCCTGTCTTTTATTTAACACAATGTTTCAAATTTCATCTACATTGTTGTCTGTGTCACAACTTCATTCCTTTTTGTGGCTAAAAGTAAATAAATATATCCCATTTTGTACACTCATTCACCCACTGATGGTATTTGGTTTATTTCAGCTTTCAGGCTATTGCTAATAGTACTTTTATGAACATCAGTTTAAAAATATTTGTTGAAAACATTTTTTTGTGTGTGTGCCAGTTCTGGAGCTTGAACTCAGGGCCTGGGCACTATCCTTGAGCCTCTCTGTGCTCAAGGCTAGCATGCTACCATTTGACCACAGTGCCACTTCCAGTTTTCTGGTGGTTTATTGGAGATGAGAGTCTCAGGGGGACTTTCCTGCCCTGTCTGGCTTTGAACTGTGATCCTCAGTACTCAGCCTCCTGAGTAGCTAGGATTACAGGTGTGAGACACTGGTGCCCAGCTTATACTGAACTTTTTGAGGATCTACTACACTGTTTTCCACAATAGCTACACTATTGTACATTCTCATCAACAAAATACAAGAGTTTTAACTTCTTCCATATTCTCATCAATGCTTATAATTTTCTTTTTTTCCAGTTTTTTAAAAATCTTAAGTAGTTGTACAAAGGGTTTGTTTCAAGTCCATGTCAATTTATTAGTATAATGCATTTTAATCAATGTCACTCCTTTCATCATTCTCCTCTATATCAACTCACACAGCCCCTTAATTTTCCTAGTTCCATTTGTAATTTGTCTTTACAACAACACACACACACACACACAACACATACAACACACACACACACACACACACACACACACACAGGTCCTGGAGCTTGTGCCTGTAATCCTAGCTATTCAGGAGGGAAGATCTGAGGATTAAAATTCAAAGCCAGCCCAAACAGGGAAGTACATGAGACTCTTTAATTAACCAGCAAAAAGCTGAAACTGGAGGTGTGACTCAAGTGGTACAGTACGAGCCTTGAATGAAAAAGCCAAGCCAGAGCATGAGACCCTGAGTTCAAGCTCCAGTGCCAGCACTAATATAATAAAATTATAGTCATTCTAGAGAGTATAAAGTGGCCTGTCATTGAGGTTTTGATTTTCATTTCCTTAATGACTAATAATGCTGAATATCTTTTTATTTTTTACTTTATTGTTATTATAGAGGTGATGCACAGAGGGATTACATGCACCAGGTATGAGTACATTTCCTTTTATACAGTGTCTTCCCTTTCCTCACTCTCTCCTAGTCTCTCCCTCCCATCTCCACCCAAGAGTTATATAGTTCATCGTCATCAGCGTCCAGTGAACTCCATTGCTGCAAATTCACCCTTTTCCCCTTGAGTTCTGTACTCTGGCCCTACCACACTCCTGAAGATATACGTGTGA